ATGGCACATAACAACAACAACAACAGCTGAAATTCACTAAATTGTTTTAAAGATCCCTGGTGGATATCACATAAGTGTACTCATGCAAAACCTGAATGTGGATGGAGAAGCAGTCCTTCAAACAGAACAATGGAATGCTACATGATTTAAAATCATAAAAGGTGTGTGTCAGAGTCGTATCCTTTCTCTGTATTCATTCATATATATGGTGAATTGAAGCTGATATGAAGAAGACTGTGGCATCAGACTTATAAGACACATCTACCTACCTTGTGGAGATAAAACAACCTTGCTTGCACAAGGGAACAAAAACTTGAAACACAGCAGATCAAAGACTACAACCTTCAGTATGGATTACACCTCAACATAAAGCAGTCCTAGCCACTGGACTAATAGGCAACACCATGATAAATGGGGAATAGATTGATGTTGCCAAGATATCATTTTATCTGGAAGATAAATAAACAATATACCAGCAGTCAGGAAATCACAAGATGCGTTGCACAAAGTAAATCTTTCAAGTACTCTTTAGGAAGTGCTGAATAGCAACGATTCCAGTTTAAAAACTATGGTGTGCCTGATTCAAACCATGATATTTTTACTTCATATGCGATATGAAAGTTGGACAATAAATAAGGAAGACTGAAGAAGAATTGGTGCCAATGAACTGTGTTGTTGGCAAAGAAGATGGAATATATTATGCATTGGCAAAAGAACAAACAGATCTGTCTTGAAGAAAGTACAACCAGGTTTCTCTTGAGAGGCAAAATGGTGAAACTTGATAACTTGATCACACATACTTTGAGCATGTTTCAGAAGATACCATTTCTTGGGGAAGAATCATTGGAAAAGTAGAGGTTCAGTGAAAGAGAGACCATCGATGAGGCCCACTGATTCAATTATCAACAACAGCGGGCGTGAACATAGTGGGAATTGTGAGGATGGCAAGATAGAGCAAGGTTTTGATCTGTCATTCATAGGTTCTCTATGAGTTGTACCTGACAGAACACAACCTCAACAATGTGTAGCTAGAGAAATCTGGTCACATACTCTGTAGCAAGCTGCACTGCTAATCCAAATGCCATGCAGTTTGAATCTACCACGGGCAATTTAGGGGATTCACAGCCTCAGAAATCAGAGGAAGGATTGCTAGGAGTCGGAAGTGACACAGTGACCGTGAATGGATAGCCATGCAAGTGGTGACATTGATAAGTGTTCATTCAGTATTATCAGTAATAACAGATACTAATCTACAAGTGGATAGAAAGGCTAACAGGCAAGAAGAACAGGTAGGAGCAGGCTAATGAGACTACACCCATGATATATTAACAGACAGTATTTCTACATATATATCTGCAGAGGATCATTGAAAGACCCTCAACAAGACGGACCGATACAGTGATGTGACAATGGGTATGCGGGAGATTGTGAAGATGGTGCTGGACAGCACAAGGTTATTATGATCTACTGTTTACAGTGTCACTGTCAGTTACAACTGACTAACAACTAGCACCTAACATCTGTAATGCTGTAAGCAGATCCACATAAATAGTAGAGCAGAAGGCAAAATTAGACCTTTTCAGCCATAACGAAGCACCTTACAGAAGTGAATCATTAAACCTGGGAGGTCAAGAACACAGTCACAAGGACATCAAGGTCAACTGGCATAGTCTATAATGTTCCACATTCTACTTTGGTAACAATCGTTTTCATAAAAGCTTGCAAAAAAGGCCATCTGCGGTACAAGTGTTGGTCTCTCCCTGCTCAAAATAAGCATAAAGACAACAAAGGACTACTAGTCCAAATGACTAATATTGTTATGTGCTGGGGAGTCAGAAATGATTAATAGCTGACACTCCAGCAGGTTTCCATGGGCAGTAAATCATACGGGAGGACAATGGCCATCTCTGAGGAGCTGGTGATGGATTTGAACTGCATGCCTTGGTTTGGCAGTGCAGCTCCATACCACCAAGCCATGAGAGCTCTGTAAAGGAGTAACAGATCACATTAATGTCAGTCTCCATGACTCTGAGACCAGAAGAAATAGATGATGCCTAGCTACTGATCCCTCTGAAATGGGTCCCAATATAATGGATAGATAATGTGGCAGGAAAATGTGTGTGTGTGGGGGGAAAGGTATAAAATATTTAAAACTCGGGCATTCTGGTCTGATTTAAACTAGTGGAATTCCTGAGACAATGACTCCTAAGACACCCTTCAAGCCTGGAACTGAAGTTGACTCATGACGCAACCTTCACGTAAACAGACAAGCCTCTAAGGTGAGCAGTAACACCAGAAAGGAACACTCCTTGGAAAAATTAACTATACAAAATTCAAGGCAGGCAGGGATAGGGAAGGAGGATGAAAGGAAATGGGAAATGACAGACAAGTGGGGAAAGTGGGGATTATATTTAATACCATGAAACATAGGAATGAATTGTGGAATAGAAAGCCAATGTGCTCTGTAAACTTTTCCTCAGAGCACAATTAAAAAGATTTTAAGAGATGATGCTCAAGGCAGATATTTTTAACAAGATAATATTGTTTGGTTTAAGAACCCCAGGGGATATTTTTTATTTAAATTTCAAAGATTGTATGTAACATGGCAAAGCCATGTGGTTCGAATCCACTAGCGGCTCCTAGGGAGAAGGATGCACATGTCCTCCCATTCGATTTACTACGGTCTCTGAAAGGTCCCTGGAGGGTCAGCTGTGGGTCAGTTCTGACTCAACGGTAAACAACAAGAAGTCAATATTGTTTGGTTTTAATAACTTCAGGGGATATTTTTGGTTTCAAGTTCAATGATTGTAACACGGCAATAGTTTTAGGGATCCCTCCAACCTTCCTGGCACCAGAAAGCCTAGAATCCATGAGAATTTGTAATCCTATTCTGCCTTTTCCCCCTTTAACATTGTAATTCTTACACAAAATCTTTGGCGCCTTGCCGTTGTTGCTACGTTCTTCTGATTTATGACAATCCCACGTGTGACTGCTTCACAGGGTTTACAAAGCTGTGATCTTTCAGATTACCAAGGCTTTGTTCCACGTGAAGATAACATCCAAGAAAACCCTATTTGAACCCTGTGTAGCACATGGGGTTCCCACCAACCTGACTCTAGAAATGGCTTTTTCTGGGTAGCTACAGATTTTTTTTTTTTTTTAAAGGGGAGGGGAGAAAGAAAGAAAACAACATCAATTGCTGATTCTCAGTGATGATCTGGTCTAAAGACTGAAGGTCTTCATAGCCAGGTCCACTAGGGAAGAGGTGAAGGTGATTACGCCCCCTCCTTGGAGAGCCTTGTTTCCAAGGGAACAGTTCCATATCAGGGTTGATCTACCAAGAGCGCCAGCTCTAAAGCAAAAGATGAGCTCAGGTGGCCTCGTCAGCTGATTATACTGCTAACCCAAAGGCCGGGACATTCTGGCAAATCGAGGGCACTAGTGGCTGAGACAAATATGGGAAACCTCCTCTCTTGCGATTTCTTGCTCGAAAACCTAATGGAGGGTCAGCCATGAGTCAGTTCCAACAGGAAGGCAATGAGTGAGGGAGATAACCCTGTCACTCACATGCACCGCTGATAAAGCCGCCTCCAAGCACAGAGGGCCCAGAAGACCCGCCTCCTCGCGATGGCTAAGCAAGTACGGCCAGGATAGGAGGCTCGGGAGGTGACGTAACTTTCCGGTTTCCTTGGCCTTCCGCTCGCTCTGCTGTCAGGAGGGAGCTCGGGGAGCATGTGACGTAGCTCCCCGGTACCTCGGCTCTAGGAAATAAGATGAGGTCGGTGAGCTATGTGCAACGTGTGGCCTTGGAGTTTAGCGGGAGTCTCTTTCCGCACGCAATCTGCCTCGGAGATGTTGACAACGATACAGTAAGTGCATGCGCACTGCAAGAGACGCAGCCTGCCTAAGCGCAGGGGCGGGCCATGAGAGGGAAAGGGAAGTAGCCCCGGGAGGCGGGCCACGTGAGCACTGGGCATGCGCAGGGTGTCCTGAGAAGAAAACTTTATTGATAGCTTAAGTAGTGAACATCGTGATCAATCTAATTGACCTGATACTCAAAGAGTTTTTGTTTGTTTTGGTGTGTAAGCAGATGATCCTGCTGTACAATTCAGTGATATATTTGGAGTAGGAGCCTAGTAAATTCTTGTGGCCACATTTTCTGGTTTGCTGCTTTTATAGTTTAATCTGCAGTGACATCACCGCTCAGGTACCACTTTGCCTTTAAGACCCTCAAACCTTTTTTTTTAAGCCGTAAATTGGAAGTAAGACCTCTCTTCTCTCTCGTTGACTTTCCTCACTTGAAGTTAGTTACTCTTTCGATGCTACACGTGCACTTAAAACGCACTTCTGCTAGAATAATAGTAGATCCCTGTGCTGCTTCTGTGCCTCGCCTCCCGTCAGGTAGAATCCTGAATCGAGAAGTTCCTCTCGCCTCAGCAATAGTGTCTCCTGCAACCCCTGTCTTAATAAAGCTGGATTTCTACATTATCCTGCTCCACAGTTGACTCGGGTGTTGGGTAACCTTAAAGCACCATGTTGTGGTGGTGGTGGTGTGCCGTTGAGTCGAGTACGACTCATAGCGACCCTATGAACAGCCGACCTGAAACCTGCCCTGTCCTGTGCCGTCCTCATCTTTGACACTTTACAGCCCTTTGCTGAAGTCACAGTGTCAGTACATCTCATTGCGGGGGGTCTTCCTCTCCTTCGGTGACCTTCCATTTTTCCAAGTAATAGCCTCGTCAAAGTATGAAAAGTGAAGCTTCGTCATCCTTGCCTCCAAGGAGCATTCTTGCCGCACCATTCCAAGAGACATACCTGTCTTGGAAAGCAGCTCGTCTTTTCCATCTCCCTTTCTGTGCCCTTGTAGTTGTTCCATTTTTCGTTGCTTAAGTTCATTAATACGAGTGAAAAGTGTAAGGATAATTGATGGTATGCAGCTAATGCTCACTAGGTGTTAGCTGTTGTATTGCTCTTGTTTGATACCATTTTTCTACAAAAACTTTGGAGCCTACTCTAGGAATTCAACGATGAACATGACTCAGCAGTCTCATGATCTAGCTTGGTGATAATCACAAACAATCAATTGTAATGAAGTGCATTGATTAAAATATATATAAAGAATACTGGAGTGATTAAAATATATATAAAGAATACTGGAGGTAGAGTATCAAATGGGATAAATGATGGTGTTGGAAGCACTCTTTGTCCTTACACTTTTTGTTTTCAGCCATTATCTCTGGCCATTCATATTTTTAATGCAAAACATTATTTCCCTCCTCTCCTACCCCCTAAGGAGCTTTGGTAACCTGGTGGGTAAAAAGTTGCTCTGCCTATACCAAAGGCTGGAAGTTTGAATCCACCGACAGTTCTGTGTAAGGTCGCTCTTGTGCTGTTTAACACTGAAAACCCCATTGAATCAGTTCTGACTGGACGGCACATAACAACAACCCTAACCTCTAACCTCATCTCTTTACTACTCTCCGTTCTATTTTTCTTTCTCTGTTTTTTGAGATTTAAATTTTATGTTATCATGGGCTCATGAATAATTTGACTTACTATTTTTATTTCATTCATGAAATTATAAAACACTGATTTAGGGAGCTCTGGTGGCCTAGTAGCAAGAAGCTGTGCTTCAAACCCGAAGGTATGTGGTTCGAGGCTACCAGCTGCTCCACGGGAGAAGGATGGACAGTCTCCTCCCCTGCGATTAACAGCCTTTGAAACCCACCAGAGCATCAGCTATGGGTGGGTTCCACCTCTGTGGTACACAACAATAACATGATCATTAGATGTATGTTCATGTTGTCCAACATTTCATCACTGGGATTCCTATAAACAGGTTCCTATAGCTTTTTTAAAAACTTGTGGTAAAAATGTGTATGTAAAAGATTTACCTGCAACAATGAATGAATGGACATCCAAAATCTCTGTAAATATTCATTAAAACTATTAAAATTTAAAAAAGAAAGCAAAATAGAAATCAAGACATATCATATAAAACATACAAAACATTAATCCAGCAAATAAATTTTCTCACACACAAAAAAGGTATTTGCAATGAATAAATCATTGAATGTGCAGAATTCCAAAAACAAACAAACAAAAACATTTACCAAGCAACATTTTTAAATGCACTGTATCTTTATGATCTAGCCCCAGCATTCTTTAGCATTCCTTTGCTTTCAGATACAGTAAGATGATCCAGGCTTTTATGCATTGTTCTTTCTGTGTTTCATCCCAGAACACAATCTTTTCTCCATGATCCCAGGTTCTTTTTATTAGAAATAGGGTTTATAAATTCTATTTTGATCCCAGATGGGCTCATTATTATCAATGTGTCATTGCTACTAGGCTCTCCCAATGATATCAAAAACAGACAAGAAACTTTTATTCTTCCTTCATCTGTTTATGTTGTTGTGTACCATTGAGTTGGAACTAACTGATAAGTGAGTCTCCAGTGATTTCTCAAAGGCAATAAATCACACAGGAGGAGATTGCCCATCTTCCTGCTGTGGAGCAGCTGGTGGATTCGTTTGTGTTTATTAAAAATATCACCTTTTGCCAATACCGCCAATTTCAACTCAATAGTTTAGGGTAATAGTCCAGGTAACTTCTGTTTTAAATATGTCTGGTTTTTAAAATTTTACTTATTTAGTTGTTATTGAGTCAGCTTGCTGTCTTCTCATCCCCACCTCCCTAGCTGTGCTGTGTTTTCTTTCTCCAAAAGGTAAGAGCTAAAATCAGGTATCCTTTTTACCCCCTCTCTTATGCTGTAATGAGAAAGATGTCTTATAAAGACTATTTTGGTTCTCTCCTCTCAAGGGAGGAAAAAGTTATTCTCATAAATCTGTGTTGTTTTATGGGCTTTCACATTTCTTTATATTCCAAGTAGTACAATTTTACGAGAAAATCTAGGGAGACATTTTACATTGTTAAGTACAGTAATAAATTAACAAAGGGACTTTAGATGTGCAGTATTTTTCCATTTTATATGATTACCTTCTTTATTTAAAAGAGGAAAAAACAGTACTTTCCCCCATAACTTCATAGCACCAGCTTTTTAGAAATTATACCTCTAAGTAAATTGCTGTATTACATACTCAATTCTGTGATACTGCATATATTTTTTCCCCCCACCAACATTATAAACTCATCAAGGTCAGGCACTTTTGTCCATTTTTTTCTACCCACTTTACGTACACACTTAGAGCTTTATCAATGTGATTAGGTTCCAAAGACTAGGTCATTATGTAAGAATTGGTGTTATATGAAAATTGAAGATGACGACGTCATTATTTAGCTGCCGAATTACACCATAAATGCCAAATCACATTACTACATAACTCTCAGATCACTAGGGATCATGGCCCAGCAAGGTGGACGTATAACTTTAACCATAAAAGCCAGTGTTACTCTCCCCTTACATCTTGGTGTTCATTACTGCCAACCATACTTACTTCATTAATGCACAAAATAGCAAGAATTTTTTGCTATTGTTATAAACATGCGATGTCAGATAAAAAGATAGTTGATAAGTGAGGAGTAGGTGTATTCCTAATTCCTGTTCTTATATACTGTTGCACTGGAGTGGACCCATAGTGGACCCTCCAGCAGGTTTTCAGAGGCAGTTAATTACATGGGAGGAGACTGTCCGTCTTTATCCCATAGGTAGTTGTGGATGTGAACCACATACCTTTACTTTGACAGCATAATTCCTTTACCGCTAAGCCACCAGAGCTCCTTATTACTAATACCTAGAATATAGGTATTATATTTCTATGTTGTATACTATTAACACAACATAGGAAATATGATACATGTTGAGGTCAGTATGCTGTACTGAGGTAACCTGGGGTTGCTGTGCCGTTGGGATGTCAAATGCTGTAACAGTTCCCCGTGGTGTACATTGTTTGGTGGAGCTCCTAGTTTAAGGTAGGTTTGGAAGCAGGAGTGACATCTACTTCCTAAACAACATGCCTTCAGAAACTATGAACTTTGATAAATATTGATAGTTATAGAAAGGCTTTAGGCCTTTTGTTCATAGTGTTGCTATGAGTCATGTTCGATTCGAAGGCAATCAACAACAATGACAACATTCCTATGTTACCTGAAAATATTATAGTTCTATAATCTATATGCAGAACAGATCATTCAAGAGACTGGGCTTTATGAGGAGGAATGTGGCATCAGGATTGAAGGAAGACTCATCAATAATCTTCATTATGCAGATGACACAACCCTGCTTGCTGAAACTGAGAAGGACCTGAAGCGCTTGCTGCAAAAGGTCAAGGACTGTAGTCTTCAATATGGATTGAAGCTCAACATCAAGAAGACAGAGTATCTCACCACTAGGCCAATCGGCAGTACCATGATAGATAGAGATTGAGGTTGTTAACAATTACAGCTTGCTTGGCTCCACAATCAACACTCTTGGTACTACCAGTCAGGAAATCAAAAGATGAATTGCACTAGGAAAATCTCCTGTCAGGGACCTCTCCAGAGTACTGAGAAGCAACGATGTCAGTCTAGTGACTAAAGTGTGCCTTATCCAGTCTGTGGTCTTCACAATTACATGATATGCATCAGAGTGGTGGACAGTGACTAAGGATGACAGAAGAAGAATCGTTACCTTTGTATTGTGGTGCTGGAGAAGAGACTTGAACATACGACTGCCAAGAAAACAAATAAGTTCTATCTTGGAGAGGATGAAACCAAGTTTCTCCTTGGAGACTAGGGTTTTGCAGCTTTGTCTCACATACTTTGGACACATGGCCAGGAGGGACCAGTCCATAGAGAAGGACATCATGTTTGGAAGGGTGGAGGGACAGCGCAAGAGAAGATGATGTCAGGTGAGATGGATTGATAATAGTAACTGGGGTGATGAGGATAGGTGTATCAGAGTCACTGAGACTGGCTCAAGACAGGGCAGTCTTCAGAGCTGTTGTACATAGGGTTGCTATGAGTCACAGGCAACTCAGTGGCACATAACTATAACAACAATACCTAATACTTAGAATTCAAGAATGTTTGTTCTTGATCTAATGATCAAAAGTAAATGAATATTTTAAAGCAAAGTGAAGGATTTTTGTAGGTAACTAACAAATATCGGTTTTTTAAAAAAGAAAAGTTAAAAAAAAGAGACAAGTAAGTGAGTATTGGTGAGTGATCACATATAATACCCTCATCCCCCATGATTATGGATGGAAACTTATGATTCCAAGGCCAGCACTTAGAGGTTTGGGGACAGGAAGAAGACAGATTTCAGCCTAATAAATCCTTCTGCTAAAGTTCTATGAAACAGACGTCTTTCTAGCTGAGTCAGAGGGAGAAGCCAGGAATAGAATGCATACCCTCTTGGACTGCTTCCTAAAGCCTGGCTGCTCAGTAAGAGAAAACCTTTGGGAGGCTGAAGCAGATTGCAGAAAGAGCTTGCCTCCTCTCTCCCGCAGCCTTTTGGAGCTGATGGTATACTCTCCAGCTGGGGTTCTTTAGTGTCACTGGATGACCTCCAGAGGCCAGAGCCATAATGGACCACATAGAAGTAGAACTGCTGGGAAGCATTAGAGCTGCTGGCAGGCAGATGGACTGCCCTGCACATGTGCTCTTCCGGGATGCTTTCTGTGGCCTCACTCCTTGCTGCACTGTTTTATATCTGCTTGCTCACAGCACTAACCACACTGTTTTATGATTTTATTCCTGTGTCTGTGCCCTGTTAAACTGTGACGTCCTTCTCTACAGGGAGGTTGTGCATTTATCTTTGCATCTCCAGCTGGTGTTTCAGCTTTATCTTTTAAAACTCCAGGGCTGGCTTGGCTTTTTTATACCTTTTATTCTGACTTTATTTTTGTTTTCTAAAGTCTTTTAGTTATTTGTTTAATAAATACATGTTGTTGAGGACTTCCTATGTGCTGTGGCTTTTGCAGGTTGAAATGAGGTCACTCGGTGACACTGAAAAACCCCAGCTGGAGAGCAAACCATAAGCTCAGAAAAGTTAAAGGGAAAAGGAAGCAAGTTCTTCCTGCAATCTGCTGAATGAATAGAATATAATAATAGATGATATGAAAGATGCTAAGTCTCCTAGCCTTGGAAGTACTAAGAGGCTGAAAAACCACCTGGTATTCCTACCGTTTTTGTGTACGGTCAGAACAGCCCCACAGCTGACCCTCCAGAGGGGCTTTCAAATGCAGTCAATCGCATAGGAGATTACCTGTCTTTCTCCATGGAACAGCTGGTGGATCTGAACCATGTACATTTGGGTTTCTTACCAGTAAGTCACCAGAGCTCCCTAGAATATGTCAAATAGGAAGCTCTGGTGGCTTAGTAGGAAGGAGTTGCACTGCCAGCCCAAAGGCAAGCAGCTTGAATCTACCAACTGAACAGTTGGCTCCCTTGCAATTTACAGCCTCTGAAAACCCACTGAAGGATCAGCTATGAGTCAGAATTGGTTTAGTTTTTAGTGAATTATATGCTAATTGGAGTCACTGGGTGGTACAGACATGCTCTGCTGTTAACTGAAAATTTGACAGTTCTGGTCCATCCAGAGGTGCCTAGGGGGGAAAGCCTGCCAATCTACTTCCCCAAAAATCAGCCCTAGAAAACCCTAGGGAGCACAACTCTACTCTGACATGCATGGGGTCACCATGAGTGGAAGCCAGCTGCACAACTGACTTATATCAATTACAGTCCCAAGTCATTTCCTCTATTAATTCAGCTCTCACACAGCCTTAAAAGGCAGATAGTTTATTATCTTTGTTTTATAGATGAAAATATATAGGCCAAAGAATGCTTGATTCAAATTTCACGTGATACTCTAAACTCCTGTCTCATGTGTCTGCAGCCATAATTGAAACATCAAGGGGATAGTGAGTTTATTGTAAATAATCCAGTTTTAAATTTCTGTGACCTAATTGTCTCAGCAGAAACTTCCCCATTTCAAAATTAAACCAAGGTTCACAGAAAGTAAAACATTGGTATTAAATCCCTGTTTATTTCTAACTTTTCCTTACTATTAAGCTGTTGTCTGTCGCCTTCAGTATCCAATCTCTTGAAAATCTAATATTAGTTCACCCTATTATAAGGACAGGAAAGGGGTGTTGGGTATACCCCCAAGGGAGCATTATGAAGCTATTTGCGGAGATAGGATTTGAAGCCATCTTGTTATCTTCCTTAGCTCCTGGAAAGGGCGGCCAGCCTTTTGGGCACCAGTAGGAACACCGTGTATTCAAATATAGGCAGTGGAGAAACTCCGTGCGTGGGGACCCTCCCGTGTTAGAGCTTCCCACCTCTTGAGAGCATCAAAGGCCCAGAGGATGGATGCTGCCGCCCACCCTTTCTTGCTCTGTTCTCCCCTGTACCCTTGCCCTGTATATTCACTCAGACACATCAAGATCAGCATGTTTTCCCACAAGGGAGAAGAACTCAAGAACTGACTTCTTTGTCTTTTTATTTTGGCTCCTGATTAAATAATGAAGTTTAATGTTGTTGTTGTTGTTATGTGTCATCAAGTTGCCTGTGATTCATAGCAACCCTATGTACAATAGCTCTGAAGCCTGCCCTGTCCGGAGCCAGTCTCAGCAACTCCGACACATCTACCCCCATTGCCCTAGATACTGTGTCAGTCCATCTCACCCAGGGTCTTCCTCTCCTGCGCTGTCCCGCCACCCTTCCAACAATGATGTCCTTTTCCAGGGATCAGTCCCTCCTGGACACATCCTCAACGTATGTGAGAGATAGAGCTTCAAAATTCTAACCTCCAAGAAGAAACTTGGTTTCACGCTCTCCAAGACGGACCTTTTTGTTTTCTTGGTGGTCCATGGTATGTTCAAGGCTCTTCTCCAGTACCACAACTCATTCAAAGGTGTCAATACTCCTTTTATCATCCTTAGTCATTATCTAGCTTTCTGATGCATAACAAATAATTGCGAGGGAGCTCTGGTGGCCTAGTGGCAAGACACTGCACTGCAATCCCAGAGGTATGCGGTTCAAATCCACCAGATGCTCTGCTGGAGAAGGAGAGGCCAATCTCCTCCTGTACCAGCCAGATCTGATTTGACGGTACATGTAAAAATAATACCATTTAAAAAAAAAACAACAAACCAAAAAACAAATAATTGTGAATATCATGGACTTGATCAGCACACCTTATTCTCTAGACTGGCATCATTGCTGCTCAGTACTCTGGAAAGGTCCCTGACAGCAGATTTACATAATGCAGTTCTTTTTTTTTTTTTTATTTCCCGACTACTGGTGCCAAGAGTGTTGATTGTGGTGCCAAGCAAGCTATAATTGTTAACAACCTCAGTTTCTTCTCTATTCATCATGGTGCTTGCTGCCAAGTGGCCCAGTGGTTAGAATCTTTGTCTTCTTGATGTTGAGCTTCAATCCATATTAAAGACTATAGTCCTTGACCTTTTGCAGCAAGCATTTCAGGTCCTTCTCAGTTTCAGCAAGCAAATTATGTCATCTGCATAACATAGGTTGTTGAAGAGTCTTCCTTCAATCCTGATGCCTCATTCCTCCACATAAAGGCTAGCCTCCAAAATAATCTGTTCTGCATATAGACTGAAAAGGTATGGAGACAAAACACATCCCTGACACACTCCCTTTATGATTTTGAACCAGGCAATGTTTCCCTCTAAAAGACTAGAGCAAGGGAAGCTCTGGTGGCCTGTGGCAAGAAGCTGCACTGCAATCCCAGAGATATGTGGTTTGAAACCACCAGATGCTCTGCCAGAGAAGGAGGGGCCATTTCCTCCTGTAACAGTCAGATCCAATTTGATGGTACACACACAGAGAAAATAAAAAAAAAAAAAAAGACTGGAGCAGCTTTGAGACTTCACATTTGTGGTCAACAAATAAGAAGAGCTGAACATCGAGTACATGGGGCTGTGATGGACCACAAATTCTGCATGGCCTCCATTTCTCCTATGTCTGTTGCTTCTGTCATATGTACACACCCCAACCACCAATAAAGAAATGCTAGGCAACTATAAATGTATTGTTAGAGCCAACTGATTTTTAATAATGTTGATGGAGAGAAAAATTGAGGTCTTGTCATTTCTCCAGGATAGACTCAGTGGGAAGGAGCTTGTCCTAATGGTCTCTTCTCTCTTTATTTGAAGTTAAATGAACTTGTGGTGGGAGACACCAGCGGGAAGCTGTCTGTGTACAAGAATGATGACAGCCGGCCATGGCTCACCTGTTCCTGCCAGGGAATGGTCAGTATTCAGCTCCCTGGGTCTTGAAGTGGGGATGAGATCCCTTCTGGCCAGGGCTGTCAGAGTTAGTCCCACACAGAAACCCACGCAGAAGTCCTGACTCACCAACTGCCTGGGTCAGCCTCTTCCAACCCCCATCCTCCACAAGGCTGAATGGCTGTTTAGTTTTCTGATGTGAAATGACTCCCTGGTCCTTTATGGAGACCACCCAAGGTTGCATTATCTCGTAAAGTATAATAAAAAATGGGGATAATAGTTTTAGTAAGTCTGGAAGTACTATAATTGGTTATATTAGATGTAGAGTTTTTGCTTTGCTTCTTTGTTTAAGCCAAGTTGTGTTAACTACCTCAGGTATTCCTGTTGTTATTCAGATGAATAAAACCATATCACTCTTACTTGATTAGCATAGACAATTAGTACTGGCCATATGGCACCCATTTTTTGGTAGATAATAGTGCTTAGACAACTTTCCTCACTTCTTGTCTCACCAAGATCAGGGAGGTCTGGTCTCCCACAGGATGGCTTTCCTGAGCCTCTCTTTCTTCTCTTGCAGCTGACCTGCGTTGGGGTTGGAGATGTATGTAATAAAGGAAAGGTAAGAACTCTAGGGAAATTTGGGGCGTCAGTAACTCTCCAAGGCTTTATCTCAATCCCTCTCTCAAGGTGGGCAGCAATCAGGAGTTAAAGATGTCAGCCTCAACCTCTGTAATTGAATTATTAGGCTTGAATTCCAACTTCCTCCCCTTCCATCTCTCCCATACCTTTCTGCCACTCAGAACCTGGTGGTGGCGATAAGTGCTGAAGGCTGGTTTCACTTATTTGACCTGACACCTGCCAAAGCCCTGGATGCTTCTGGGCACCACGACACACTAACAGGAGAGGAGCAGCGTCCGGTCTTCAAGCAGCACATCCCCGCCAACACCAAGGTCATGCTGATCAGCGACATCGGTGGGCATGGCTACTTTTTTTAAATTGGGGGCATAGGAGTCGATACATAAATGAACAGAACCCTAAGCATTCAGGGAAGGGAAATGTGTGTGTTTATGCATTTGTGTTTCACACATGAAATTACTAAAGTCATATTATGAGCTAGGCATTTTTCTTAGTGTTGAAATTACAGTAGTGAATAAAACAGATGAAATTGCTATCCTCTTAGAGCTTACTAGGAAGAGATCATTTGAAAAATAAGTAACCTCTGGTAGCTTACTGGGTAAGGAGTGGCGCTGCTAACTCAAAGGCAGGCGGTTCAAATCCACAGGATATTCCCAGGGAAAAGGCAGTTTCTTCCCATGTGATTTACTACCTCTGGAAACCCACTGGAAGCTAAGCTATGGGTTGGTTCCAACTTGACAGCACATAACAACAATATTTCATGAGAAAGTTCTCCTCCCATAAAGATTCACAGCCTCAGAAACCCAATGGAGGGTCACCATGAGCTGGGGTCTGCTTCATGACAGTAGAGTATATGAGAAGGCAATAACTACTGTAGAGAAAAGTAAAATACAGGAGAAGTTCAGGACTATTGAAAGAAACAAAGGTGGTGGTGGTGGTTGTTGTTGTTGTGTGCCATCAAGTCGCTTGTGACTCATAGCAATCCTCTTTACAAGAGCCCTAAACCCTGCTCTATCCTGAGCCAATCTTATTGTCGCTGACACATCTACCTCCATTACCCCTGTCACTGAATCAATCCATCTCATCAATGGCCTTCCTTTCCTGCTCTGTCCCTTTAACCTCCTAAGCATGACATCCTTCTGCAAGGACTGGTCTCTCCTTGCAACATGTCCAAAATACATCAGATGAAGCTTCAGAATTCTTGCTTCTAAGGTGCAGCCTGGTTTCACCTTCTCTAGAATGAACCTTCTCATTCTCTTAGCAGTCCTTGGTATAGTCAATATATACTCCAATACGCTTCAATATTCTCTAATACTCTTCTCCACTGGGCTGATTGGTGGCATTGTGATGGATGGCGAAGAGATTGCGCGTTTAAACAGCTTTAGTTTATTTGGCTCCACGATCAACACTCTTGGCACCAGCAGCCAGGAAATTAAAAGATGTATTGCATTGGGTAAGGCTACTGTCAGAGACCTCTCCAAAGTATTAAAGAGCAATAATGTCAGTCTGGAGACTAAGGTGTGCCTGATCAGGCCATGGTCTTTGCAATCACTTGCTATGCATCAGAGAGCTGGACAATGACTAGGGATGACAGAAGGAGGATTGATGCCTTTGAAACAAAGGGATAGCAAATTTTTTTTAGGGGTTGTTGATTGTCATTGAGTTGAGCATGACTCATAGTGACCCTGTGAACAAAAGATCTGAACCCTTTTCTATAAGTATTGTCATTTCTCTAAATTCGTAGATTTTCCAGAGGCATGTTGTATAGGAAGTAGATGCCACTCCTGCTTTCAAACCTGTCTTAAACTGGGAGCTCTACTAAACACTGTTAACCTGGGGAACTGTAATGGCATTTGACACCCCAGTGGCACAAGGTTCAGCATCACAGCAACCCTAGGTTGTCTCAGTATAGCAAATTGACAGAAGAGTGCTGTACCACTTAGAAGAATGTTCCTCCAAAATATAACTAACAACTTTTAAATACTAAGGTCCTCCACGGAGTCTTGTTGACTCTAAACAAGAGCAATTTTAAATGGAATTGTCAGGAGAGTCTTTGCTAAGGAGGTGATGTTTGATAAATAATGAAGGCAGGAAGAGCAACAAACCATGCAGATTCAGGGCCTTAGGGAGGAAGGAGAGGGAAGGAAGGAAGCAGGACAGTGGTGGGGAGTGCCAGGTAGATGAGATGAATCTGGATACTTGAGTCCTGTGTCTGAGAGAGGTCCTGGGGAGAAGTGCTAGGACCTACACTGTACAAAGCACAAGGGCAGGGGAACATGTACCAGACTTGGATTGTGTGAGATAGGTAAGTACAGCAGGTTCACAATGATGCAGTGCTGGAGAGAAGTTCTAGTGGTGCTTAGAAGAGTTGTGGACAGCGCTAAAGAGACTCAAGCTGGCGACGACAGATTTGCCTCCAGCACAGTCTTGTTTCTGTACCCACAGATGGAGATGGATGCTGCGAGCTGGTGATAGGCTACACAGACCGCGTTGTGAGGGCTTTCCGTTGGGAAGATCTGGGTGAGAGTGCTGAGCATCTGACAGGACAGTTGGTATCCCTCAAGAAATGGATGCTGGAGGGTCAGGTGAGAGGCAGAGATGGGGAGTGAGGAACGCAGGGCATGAGGGGGAAGGCCTTTCAGAGGAGTCTTGTTGGAGAATGGGCATGCAATAGGGTGCAGGCCAGGAGGAAAAGAAATTCCCTTGTTGAAAAAGTCCCAAGAAGTAGGCAAAGGGAAAGAATGTGAGGATAATAAATAGGAGCATGTGGTGAGTGAGATATGGAGGATAACAGAACATGAGCGTCATTTGGGCACGCACAGATAGCCTGTGCAGGGAGCAGGGTACCAGGCAGGAACCCTATACATTTTAGATTTCTTCCTCTGCCTGCTGCCCTCAGCCCCTTGAATACTATTCCTGGTGCCCCACAGCATGTGTGTTTCTCATCTCCATCCTCCCTTAAGACCCTTTTTCCTCTGAGCAGGTGGACAGTCTCTCAGTGACACCAGGGCCCATGGGTATTCCTGAACTGATGGTATCTCAGCCAGGCTGTGCTTACGCAATTCTACGCTGCACCTGGAACAAAGACACCGAATCCCCACCTGCCTCTGAGGGGACCACGGAGGGTAATAGGTAAGGGAATATAGGCTATGGCTGGTGCAGAGGGCCCATGGAAACAAAATAGGCTGTAGGACGGCACATGGTAGTGAGGTAGTCCTGCAGTCAACAGACTTCATCTAGGTTCCATTCCAAGCACCTTTGTCCCATGAAGCACCCAAGGAATTCTGGGCTTTAGCCTTACAACACCTGGGGGAAAGTCTTAAGTCCCAATCTGGCAGCTCCATCCCTGTCTTTTCTACTTGCCACATGAATTAGACAGAAGTAGTAATGAATTTCCAAGAAAGGGGCCTCTGGGGTCCTGCAGAAGTAAACTCCATTGATCTCTCAGTCCATCCCCTCCTGCCCTCAGGGAGCCCCCTGCTGCCCGAGACGTAGTACTGCATCAGACGTCTGGCCGCATCCACAACAAGAATGTGTCCACTCACCTCATTGGCAGCATCAAGCAAGGTGAAGGTGGCAGTGAGATGGGGAGGGCCCTGGCCAGCCCAAGTTAGTTCTGGGAAAGAAGAGGCACAGGGAGGGTCTTTTTCTCATGACTAGTTATGTCCCTCCCTCTCTGCCTTTGGTCACCACTCCTCCCCATGTGTTGAGCTTGCCCTACTCCTTCATGGTTTATTCTTCTGTCCTACCCACAGGGCACAGCTCGGAGAGCCTCGGCTCTGGCCTCTTTGCCCTCTGCACCCTGGATGGTGAGTTCCCCAGGCTGGTTCTGTGTGGCAATGCTGGAGTGGGTACGGGAGTTTATGTGCCTGTGGGAGCTGCTCAGGAGTTTGGTCCCCCCCACACCCCACCTGCCTTTTCTGCTGCAGGAACGCTGAAGCTTATGGAGGAAGCAGACAAGCTATTATGGTCAGTGCAGGTGGATCACCAGCTTTTCGCCTTAGAGAAATTAGATGTCACGGTGAGTGGGAAACCTGGTGGAGTAGAACATTTTGGCCTTCTCCTTATAAGAGATTTCAATCAGACCAGTTTCACATCACAATTCATAATCAACCTTTACCTCAAGTCTGTTTATTGGTGGTGGTTACATTGAGTTGGCTCAGACTCATGATATTTTTATGTATAACAAAACAAAATGTTGCACAAACCTGTGTCATCTTCTTGTTCTTTTATGTTTAAGCCCATTAATCATGTCAATCTATCACATTGAGAGTTTCCCCCATTTTCATTCACCCTCTACTTTACCAGACATAATAAGTCTTTTTCATCAACTGCTGGCAAATTTTAAAGAAATTTTACTTGTTGTGTTGTTATGTGCCATCAAGTTGATTGTGATGCATAGTGACACTATGTACAATAGCTCTGAACCCTGCCCTATCCTGAGCCAATCTCACTGTCTCCAACACACCTGCCAGTATTACCCCAGTCACTATTTCAATACATCTCATCCTGGGTCTTCCTCTCCTGCGCTGTCCCTCCACTCTTCCAAGCATGATGTCCTTCTCCAAAGACTGGTCCTTCTTGGCTACATGCCCAAAGTATATGAGGTGGAGCTTCAAAATTCTTGCCTTCAGGGAGCAGCTTGGTTTTACCCTCTCCAAAATAGACCTGTTAGTTCTCTTGGCAGTCCATTGTTCTTCTCCAGCACCACAGCTCAAAGCCATCGATTCTTCTTCTGTTATCCTTAGTCATATCAAGCACTCTGTTGCATAACAAGTAATTATGAAGACTATGGTCTGGATCAGGTGCACCTTAGTCTCCAAACTGACATTGTTGCTTTTTAGTACTGTGGAGATGTCCCTGACAGCAGATTTTTCCAATGCAGTTCATCTTTTGATTTTCTAACTGCTGGTACCAAGAGTGATTGTGGAGCCAAGCAAACTGAAACTGTTAATAATCTCAGTCTCTTCACCATTTATCATGATATTGCCAATCAGCCCAGTGGTGAGAATCTTTGTTTTCTTGATTTTGAGCTTCAGTCCATATTGAAGACTACAAGTCCTTGACCTTCTGCAGCAAGCACTTCAGGTCCTCCTCAGTTTTGGCAAACAAGGTTGTATCATCTGCATAATGCAGGCTGTTGATGAGTCTTCCTCTAATCCTGATGCCACATTCCTCCTCATAGAGCCCAGACTCCCAGATGTTTGGTTCTGCATATAGATTGAAAAGATATGGAAAAAGGACACATTTCTGGTGTATACCCTTCCCAATTTTGTACCATGCAGTGTTTCCCTGCTCTGTTCTGATGACTGCCTCCTGGTCCAAGTATAGGTTTTGCATAAGCACAATCAGGTATTCTGGAATTCCCTCTCTTCTCAGAGTCAGTGACAGTTTGTTGTGAACCACACAATCAAATGCCTTTGCATAGTCAGTGAAACACAGATAGACATTCCTCTGGTATTCTCTGCTTTCGGCCAAGATCTTCTAACATTAGCTACGATATCCCTAGTACCACGGCCTCTTCTAATCCCAGACTGCACATCTGGCAGTTCTCTGTTGATGTACTGTTCCAGTCTTTTTTGGATAATTTTCAGCAGAATCTTGCTTGCATTTGATATTAGTGATATAGTTTGATAATTTTCACACTCTATAGGATCACGTTTCTTTAGAATGGGAACAAATATAGATCTTTCCAGTCAGTTTGCCAGGTGATTGTCCTCCAGATTTCTTGGCACAACTTGGTGAATGCATCTAGGGCAGTGTCTGTTTGTTGAAATATGACAATTGGTATGCTGTCAATTTCTGGGCTTTGTTTTTTGCCAATTCTTTCAGAGCAGCTTGAACTTCTTCCTTCATCCCCACAGGCTCTTGCTCATACATTGTTCCATGAAATTCTTCTGTGTCAGCCAATTCCTTTTGGTACAGTGACTATGTATCCTTGTTCTATCTTCTTTTAATGCTTCCTGAATCATTTCATATTCTACCCAAAGCAACCTTGAGTATTGCAACTTGGGGCTTGAATTTGTTCTTCAGTTCCTTCAGCTTAAGAAATGCCAAGCGAGTTTGACCCTTTTGATTTTCTGACTCCAGCTTTTTGCCCTTTTCATTATAATACTTACCTTTGTCTTCCCATGCTACTCTTTGAAATCTTCTATTTAAGTCCTTAATAACAAATAAAATTATGCTGAAGATAATTTTGATTTTTTTTTTAAATTATTATAGTGGTGCATTGACAGCAAACCATCAGAAATCCAAGCCAGATTAAAAAAAGAACATGAAGTAAGGGATGTCATAGCTGATGTTTCATGGACCTTGGCTAAAAGCACAGAATGCCAGAAAGACATTAACTGCCTTATTTTGACTTTGTAAAGACATTTGAGTGTGTGGATCATGACAAGTTATGGATAATATTTCGCAGAATAGGAATTGCAGAAAATATAATTATGCACGTGAAGAATTTCTACATAGACTAAAAGATAGTTGTTCAAAAGAGAATAGGGGTCATTGCATGGTTTAAAATCAGAAAGGTGTATACTTTGGTTCTATCCTTTTACTATTCTTTTTTGTTTGTATGCTCAGCAAAACATCTGAAAAACTGGACTTTACAAAGAGGAATGCAATATCAAAATTAGAAGAAAATTCAAACCTGTGATATATGCAAATGGCACAATCTTATTTGTTGAAAGTAAAGAGCCCTTGAAGCACTTACTGATGAAGATAAAAGGACTTCTGTATGGTTTATACCTCAACATAAAGAAAACAAAAATCCTCACACCTGAACTAAGAAGCAATATCATGATAAATGGAGATAATACTAAAGTTACCAAGGATTTCATTTTGGTTCTACAATCACTGCTCAATGAAGCAGCAGTCAAGAACTCAAACAACACACTGCATTTGGAAAATCTGCAGAAAAAGATCTCTTTAGTGTGTTAAAAAGCAAAGCTGTCACCTTGAGGACTAATGTGGCTCGAAGCACAGCCATTGTCTTTTTTTATTTGCCACAAGCTGGAAAGTCAAAGAATTGATACATTTTAAATTATGATGCAGTTGCTGTTATGTGCCAGTTGAGTCGCTTGTGACTCATAGCAACTCTATGTACAGCAGCCCTAAACCCTGCTCTATCCTGTGCCAATCTTATTGTCTCTGGCACATCTACGCCCATTAACATAGTCACTGAGTCAATCTGTCTCACTGAGGGCCTTCCTCTTTTGTGCTGTCCCTCCACCCTCCCAATATGATGTCTAAAGTATGTCAGACGAAGCTTCAGAATCCTTGCTTCCAAGGAGCAGCCTGGTTAAACCCTCTCTGGGACAAACCCATTTGTTCTCTTAGCAGTCCTTGGTATATTCAATAATAGTATTGATTCTCCAGCACCACAGCTCAAAGGCATCAATTCTCCTGTCATCCCTAGTCATTGTCCAGCTTTCTGATGCATAGCAAGTAATTGCGAAGACCGTGGTGTGAATCAGGTTCACCTTAGTCTCCAGACTGACATAGTTGCTCTTCAGTACTTTGGAGAGGTCTCTGACAGCAGACTTTCCAAATTCGTCATTTTATTTCCTGGCTGCTGATACCAAGAGTATTGATTGTGGAGCCAAGCAAACTAAAGCTGTTAACAATCTCCATCTCTTATTAAATATACCAAGTTGTTGTTACTAGGTGCCATCAAGGCAAGTAAGCGATCCTGTGAATAACAGATCTGAACCCAGCCCTATCCTGTGCCATCCTCACACTTCCTGACACACTAGAGCCAACCCATTGTGGTAGTCACTATGTCAGTCCACCTGGTTGAGGGTCTTCCTCTCCTTTGTCATCTCCCCTCCTTTCTAAGTATGATGTCCTTCTCCAAGGAATAGCCTCTTCTAGCTACAAGCCCACAGTATGTGAGACGAATCTTTATCATCCTTGCCTCCAAGGAGCACTGTGGCTACATCTTCCCCAGGATATATCTGTTTGGGGATATTGAGTGCTCTTCTCCAACACCACTGCTCAAAAGCATCAATTCTCTCATCTTCCTTATTGTCCAGCTTTCAACAGAATAGCTGACTAAACCATGGCCTGATTCCGGCACCCCTTGTTGTTATGTGCCTTCGAGTTGACTACAACTCATAGCAATGCTATGCACAGAAGGTCTCAACCCTGCTCTATCCTGAGAGCCAATCTCACTGTCTCTGACTCAGCTACCCTCATTACCCTAGTTATTGTGTCAATCCTTCTCATCCAGGGTCTACCTCTACTGCCATGTCCCTTGACCCTTTCAAGTATGATATCCTTCTCCAAGAACTAATCCCTCCCGTCTGCATGTCCAAAGTATGTGAGATAAGGTTGTGTCATCTGCATAATGCAGGTTGTTGATGAGTCTTCCTCCAATTCTAATACCGCATTCCTGCTCATAAAGTCCAGCCTCTCTAATGATCTGTTCAGCATACAGATTGAAAAAATTTGGAGACAGAACTCATCCCTGATGCACTCCCTTTTTTATTTTGAGCCATGCCGTGTTTCCTTGCTCTGCTCTGACAACTGCCTCCTGGTTCAAGTATAAATCTCAGATGAACACAATCAGGTGTTCTGGGATTCCTATTCTTCTCAAGGTTAGCCACAATAGGATGTGATCCACGCAATCAAATCTTAGTCCTCAAAATAACATCATGACTCTTTAATAATTTGGAAAAGTCTTTGACTGCAGACTTTTCCAGTGCAATTCTTTGAGCAAATGTACCATTGGATGCTAGAAAAACTAATAAATCTGCTGTGGAAGGAGTCCAACCAGAATGTTCCTTAGTAGCAAGGACTTCATCTGCATGTTTTGGACATGTTATCAGTAGGGACCAGTGCCTGGAGGACATCATGCTTGGTAAAGGACCCTACTTCATGGGGATGTTGTGACCATTATGTAAGAGTACTCATTTGACAGCCCTGCTTGGTGCCTGGCACATGGGAGATGTTCAATGAGTGATTGTTTTCTTCCTCAGCACACAATTTACCTCTCAGAGTCCCCTGTACAGTCCTTGGCCGTTTCACCCACCCCCATCATTAGATCCCTTTCAGAAACAGCTCCTTGTCAATCCAGAATCCCTTTCTCTGGCCTTTTTCAGGGTAATGGACATGAGGAGGTGGTTGCATGTGCCTGGGATGGACAGACATATATTATTGATCATAACCGCACTGTGGTTCGCTTCCAAGTGGATGAGAATATCCGAGCCTTCTGTGCAGGTGGGACTTCCACCCCATGACCTCTGTCATTCACATTTGTTTGCTTCTCATTTCTACTCTTGAAATGGCCTTTACTTTAAATCTTTATAAACAAATGATGAAGTGAATATAAAAAAGCCATCTTTGCATTTGTAAATAGGAAAGGAGAAACAATGCCATCTCCAAATATTTCCAAAAGTCAAATGAATTCTTATCCATTTGTCTGAGATGTGTTGAAGATATTGGAAAGTCCTCTGTGAAGGAAATTCTCCCAGAGCTATCATTTTAGTTCCAAACTGGTAACCTTGGGAAACACCACTAACTCTTTTGGGTGCCTGGTGAGCTCTGGTAGTAAGGAATTGTACTGGTAGCTCAAAGATAAACGGTTCTAATCCAGCTACTGCTCTGTGAGAGAAAGATGAGCAGCCACCTCCTGTGTTATTAACTGCCTTTGAAATCTGCTGGAGGGTCCGCTCTGGGTCAGTTCTGACTTGATGGTACACAATGATAACAGTGGGGATTTGGGGGTACTGCAATGACAGAACACTACTGTAGAGTTTGTACTCCTGAACAAACCTGTAGATCTTTGAGAGGGTGCAGCCAGAGTGCTCCTTAGAGACAACGATGATGACACTTCATCTCATACTTTGGGCATGTTGCTAGGAGAGGCTATTCCTTGGAGAGGAACATCATGCTTGGTGAAGTGGAGGAACAGTGAAGGAGAGGAAGACCTTCAACCAGGTTGAATGACACAGTGACTGCAGCAATAGGCTTGAGTGTGTCAGAGATTGTGAGGATGGCACAGAGTAGGACAGGGTTCAGACATGTTGTTCATAGGGTCACTTGGAGTTGTACTCAACTCGATGGCACCTAACAACAACAACCTGAACAGTTAATATGCCTTTGAAGGCAGCATTGATGCATAAAAAAGCCTTAGCTTCTGACCACCTTTTGCTAATCTAGAGAGCTCTGGTGACATAGTCCCTAGGAAGTTGTACTGGGTACCAAGTGGTAGCACCGCTCTGGCAATTCAAGTTCAGCAGTTCTGCAGGAAAAAGACAGGCAGTCTTCTGTGTGAGCTACAGCCTCAGAAAATCTGCTGGAGGGTCACCTATGAGTCAGTTCTGACATAACAGCAATGAGTTGAGTTTTTTGCTAAACAATTCCTTGAACTATCAATACTATGAACTATCTTCACTTACTCGATTGCTTGTGAGTCAATTCTAATTTTTGACGACCCCGTGTGTGTCAGCTAGCACTATGCTCCCTAGGATTTTCAGTTGCCAGATTTTCAGAAGTACATCACCAAGCCTTTTTTCTGTGACACCTTTTGGTTTGCAGCTGAAGGAGTTAACCATTTACACCACCCAGGGACTCACCAGGGTTATTATTAGATGGAAAAGTCAACAGATATCACCCCTTTGGATGCACTCTGCTCAGTTTCTGTCCCCTGGCCTGATAAACAGATACAGCAGATTGTTTTACCTATTTTACTAAGTTCCCAGCAGAGAGAAATTAGAAAGAAGGCTTTTTATTTAATTTTTTTTCCTTGACCTTGTAGGAGGGTAGAAAGTGCTGACTCTAATGCCTGTATCTTGTTCTCTGCACTCCCACCATTGAGATTGAAACTTCTTGACCTTTGTCTCACCACCCACACCTCTCAGGCATGTATGCCTGCAAAGAGGGCCGCAACAGCCCCTGCCTCGTGTATGTCACGTTCAACCAGAAGATCTATGTGTACTGGGAGGTGCAGCTGGAGCGGATGGAGTCTACCAATCTCCTGAAACTGCTAGAGGCTGAGCCAGAGTACCGGAGCCTGCTGCAGGAGCTGGGCGTGGGTGAGTCCCAGGAGAGTGGCCGTGGCAGAGAAGCCCAGTGGTCCAGGTCCCCAGGAAAGCTGCAGCCTCTTACCAGTCCCTTTTGTTTTGCCTTCAGATCCCGATGACCTCCGTGCAGTCTGCGCCTTGCTTCACCAGACTTTCTACCATCCTGACCAGGCACAGCAGTGTGCTCCCTTCAGCCCCTGCGATCCCACCTAGTGGGGCTTGCCTGAGCCTGAGTTGATGAAAGGTCCTCTTTCTGAGTGCCCTCCCTCTCTAGGTATCCATGGTAATGGCAGGATCAGGAATATGCATATTACAGAGGAGCTGAGTTCAACTCTGGCCATGGAAGGATGGTGGCTGCCCCTGGGGTGACTGTCGCTCTAGACCTCACAGTCTTTTTGGTGAAAGTTCACCCTCTGCCCAGTTGCTTGTACATTGCATTCCTCCACCATCAGGATTATAGAACCTTGGCCTTGTCTCAAATCTGGACCACCTCCCAGCCCCAGATTCCTGTTCTCATTGTATAAAAACCAGAGACTTGTCTGTAAGAAGAGAAACCAAGTCTTTTGCAAGACCTCAGCATCCCTAAGGAAACCAGGCTTCAGGGCCAGGGGAACAGCATCCCAAGTGCCATCTTTCCTGGCAAAACTCCATGTCATCCACATTAGCAGTGACTACAAGAATCGCAAACTAGTTCTTTAGCCATTTCTGTTTTGTTTCTGGGGGATTGTTCAGGGCATTTTATAGTCTGAATCTCACTTCTATTCCTAGCAGCCTTAAAGTGATTTTCCTCAGTTTATCAAAAGAAACTGGGTCAGTACTTTCTCATTTTGCCATATTCTTCAAAAACCTTCATAGGCCTTGCTCTCATTTCCCCAACCAGTCACTTTTCCCTAAAAATAGCCCCTTTTTGTCTCTTAATCCAGTAGTCATTTCAAAGCTGAATGCAGGTTTGTGATCCAGACCACAATCAGAATTCTATCTTGAACCCTTTATGTACTTTCAGCTCTTAATTCTCTGTTCTCTGAATCCACGTTTTTCAAATTGTAGTTTGTAATACTTTGGTGGGTCATTTAGGTAAATGAAATAGAATAAAACAGGCCAGGAAACATCAAAATGCCTGACTCACAGGATGGGTAAGTGTTAGTTGGCTGTAATTACATATGTGTGCTCATGTGTATGTGAACAATGTAAAATTTATTTTGTACTGTGAGTTACGGTCAAACAGGTTTGAAAATCGTTGCTCTGCCTTGTGCTTTACTTCAGTCAGATGGGTCAGCTGAGGAAAGGGTTCACGTTTACGGTCCCTGTCAGTAAGGCGGGAGATGCCATTCAGCTGCTGGCAGCCAAGGAGAAAGACTAGAGAAGGACATCAGCATAGAGAAACAAGGATTTATTCAAGTGGAGAAGCAGCCAAGCTGAGGGCCCGCCATCAGGCCTGGGATCTGTGGGTACAGAAGCAGTAGGAGGCAGACAGGGAAAGGAAAGATGGTGAGACCAGGAAAGCAGAGGTCTTGGAGCAAGGCATTGAGGGAGACGGAAGCCTTTATAAAATTCTGTTACCAGGGTAGAAGGATGCCTGTGATAAGGGATGTCCTCGCCTTTCCTTTTAAGGACAATTGGCAGAGAAAGGTAAGGAAGAAAAAATATCACAAACAACCTCCATGTTCCAGGGGTTTAACAAGGGACAGTCCTCAGGCTAAGTCTAAGGGTTGGCAGATGAGACCAGTGAATCCTCTACCCCCTGCAAACTTAGAGATTGCCACTGGGTGCTTATTTACTTACTTTGCCTTAGTTTGGTCCTTCTCTAATCCAACTCAAGGTCAAGATTTTGCATCCAGCAAGCTCCCAGTTCCTAGCCCAGAGTTCAGGTTAGCTACCTGCTGCCTTCCTCTACCACTAATCTATGACTTGAGTGACTCGGACCAACTAGAAAGACACTCAGATGCTTGGCTTCTTGAGGTTTGATTCCTGTCTTCACAATGAAGTCAGAAGAGCCTCCTTGCCCTTTTACTTTGGCTCAAAGCCTGATGGGGGGATAGGAAGCCACTGATTGCAGGACAAATTCAAGTTCAAGAACCAAGGATGAGGGATAATAAGAAAGAATACTGGCAAGGTTAAGCCTGAGTACTGACTATACCACCAATTGTCCACCTTCTAGAAGTGTCTTCTAAAGGGCTCTTGTATACAGACCTCCAAAGTTCAGAGGCCCCTGTGGTGCAAAAACAATGGGAAAAGAGTCAATATCTGGAGTAAATATTAGAGGTGTAATCATAGTTTTGAACAGAGTAACCAATCACTGGCTTTGGAGACTTTTGTGACCCCAGAAATTGTAGTCAAAGAAAGAGCACCCAGCATTGTAAGCTAAACACTCTTCAACCATCCTACCTTCAGTGTTGCACTAGAAATCTGTTTATCACTTCATTCCTATTCACCTGTGAGCAGATATGTGTGGAATCAGAAAGGTAGGCGCCAAAAGGATCAGGGAAGTGGGGCAGTCTAGTTGTGGGAGATGATGTACCTGAGATGGTGAAGTGAGGGATGTGGAAGTCAGGTCCATCTAATGGAATTGGAAGGAAGTAGAAAGAGCAGTTGGCAACAGACTTTGTTTCAGGCTAGTTGCTGTCATGTCGAGGACCAAGCCAGAGGCCCCGTTTTGCCTAGATAGGCACACCTCAGAGACACCACAGATTCCATTCCACACCATGTCAATAAAGCAAATATGTCACCATCTGTGAGCCACAGGAATTTTTTGGTTTCTCAGTGCTTGGAAACATTATGTTTACATTACACTGTAGTCTGGTAACTGTGTGCTAGCCTTAAGAAATAGTTTAAGAGTTTGCAAAAATTACAGAAATGTAGCAGAGACACAAAGTGAACACATGCTGTTAGAAAAAAATAGAGCCAAGGGGTCTGCTGGATGCAGGATCAGCACAAACCTTCAATCTGTAAAAAATACGCTTTCTGTGAAACACACTAAAGTTAAGCAAATTAAAGTGAAGTGTGCCTGTATCCCTTTCCACAGTGCTGATTTGGCTTTGCTCTTCTCGAGGACACACAGGGCATCCAGAACGATCATGAGCCATCTCTAGTAGCAGCTCCTCCTAGGAAGAGGGCTGTTGTAGAAGCAGAGAGGAATGTGGTTGAAGAGGGGCCGGGGAAGGATGGTGGGGGTCAGTTGTAATAGACCTGACAGACAGGCAGTCCCCAGCAACCTGACTCTCATAATGCCCCATTCCCCCCACACACACACACACACACCACTCTTCCCCTAAGGCAAGGTATTTCCCTCTGGGGACTGACTGGGACAGCAGTCACTGGCCAGGGTCTTGGTACAGAGGCAGAAAGGGCAGCTCTGGGAAAGGGGCTTTAAGCCGCAGCACGCCGTGCTCCAGGTCGATACAGCTCTGTTAGGGGAGGACTGAGTGAGAGAAGGCCTCCGCAGGCCGACCTCCAGTCCCCCCTTCCCACCACCCCCAGCTCCGACTCCTTTTTTCCCTTTTGTCTCTTCCCCCAACTTCCACCTCCTATTTGCCTCCAACTCCACCCCACCCCTGTTCCCATTAACCAGAACCTCTGTCTAGGGAGGAATCCAGTTCTCTACTTCCACTTGTAGGGAAATCATTATCTTCTAAAGAAGGAGCTCTGGTGGTACAATAGTTAAAGTTCTCAACTGCTAACTGAGAAGTCCATTGTTTTCATGCACTAGTGCTGGGAAGGAGAAGGGTGTGGCAGTCCTCTTCCATAAAGAGTGAAGCTTAGGTAACCCTATAGAGACATTCACTTCCTAAAGGATTGCAGAGTCAATCTGGACTTAGCAGCATACACCAATAAAGAAGCCAGTTTGAAACGAATACTCCTCCTGCCTCTAGCGTCAGCCTTTCTAGGCAGAACCTGCCCCATGCTTTCATGCCTGTGCCTTCTGTCTCTCTCCTCCTGCACTTTGAGTGGGGCCCCATGCAAGAATGCAAATCCTAGCACCCTACTTACCTTGAGAGAGAGCAGAGTCTGCAGTCCAAGGCAGAAGTCAGGACTCTCAACATCTGCAACATTTGAAAACGGAAGAGACTGAAAGGTGCCCAGCAAGCTCCTCTCTGCACTCATCCTTCTTTGCCTGCCCCATTCCCCAGGCACAGAGTGTAGGGATAATCAGAGGCCTCATGGGAACTCCTTGTCTAATATCAGGGACTGAGAGGCCTAGTCTATGTCTTTCTCTCTGCCCAGGAGTGAAAGGTAGAGCAGAGGAGAAGCTGGGATGTAGATGAAGGCAGGACTTACCCACCACCCGGGCGGAGCATGCCACGGTCTCCTGCCCTAGCTGCAACTCCAACTGCTCCACCTGGGCTGGAGACCTTGGTGCTGGGTCCCCAACTGGGGCTTTAAGGGCCTGTTTCTCTAACCTGTGGTTGAGAAATAAGGTTATGGCTACCCTAAGGCCTCTCCCCATCCCCATTAATCAGCAGATGTCCCTTCCCACCTCATATTGAAGATTTTCATCCAATCCCTGGTCCCCTGTAGGGTCTAACTTCTTTTCAATGCCAGAACTTCCAGTCTACTTTGATCAGTTTTTTTGTTTTGTTTTGTTGCAGGTTTTTTTAGTAACAGTTTTAATGAGGTGTAGGTCATATATACCATAAATTTACCTTTTTAAGATGTGCAACTCATTGGGTTGTTGTGCTGGGTTTTTGGTTTCTTTTCTATAGTCACAGAGTTGTGCAGCCATCCCCACTATCTCATTTTCACAACACTTTGACCACTCTACAAAGAAACCCTGTGTCTCACACACACTTTCAGGCTAAGCTCTTACCCCAGGCGGCTGAGGCATCCAACAGATATTTGATTGTACTGGGTACCCGTGTCCACGGCCACTCTCAGCATCTGGTCCCGACACTAGGAAAGAGGTTATGGAGGACTTGATGAGCCACGAGGAAAATGGGTTGGGGTTGGAGCCTTCAATTTAACCAGACCTTTCATTATTCCTTTTTTTAAAACCAGTGGAGGGTTCCTGAACACTAACTGAAAATGAACTAGGTACTGAGGAGGAGACAATTCATTGTAGTCGCTCACTGTCAGTTGACATCCCCCTACAGTCCTGCTTCAAGGGCATGTTATTGACATAGATCTCAATTGTCATGGATCAGGGAGCATATTGCTCACTGCTCAATAGTCTTTCATCCCAGTTTTGTCATGGAATAAGTACACTGTACACAAAATCAAATAAGATAGCTGGAATGAAACTACCCTGTATGGGCAAGGAGGAAGGAGAAAAGAGAGCCCCAACAACTAGGCGTTGCCAGTGGTATAGAAACTGACTGTGAGCGTGGCAAAAGTAGGGGAGAATGTATTACTCAATGATACTGTCTTTTACATGTTTCAAGTTTGGAAGAAGAATTATTGTAAATATGTAAGGCATTAGTCCTTGGGAGATGTTCTAGAGAAAATACTATATTAAACTCTAAACTCATTGCTGTCGAGTCAGAACCAACTCTCGACTGACCCTCCAGTGGGTTTGCAGAAGCTGTAAATCACACGAAAGATTATCCATCTTTCTCCCTCGAAGCCGCTTGTGGATTAGAACCACTTGCCTTTGGGTTGGCATTGCAGCTCCTTACCACTAGACCACCTGAACTCCCTGTCCTTTATATTGCCATGTAATAGAAAGGGGGAAACATGGTGATGTGCAACAGTTCATCACTCATCTGTTAACCAAAAAGTTGGTGGTTTAAACTCAACCATCAGCTCCATGAGAAAAGACTTAACAGTCTGCCCCTGCAGAGATTACAGCCCACAAAACCCTACAGGGCAGGTCTCTTCTGTCCCATGAGTTCACTGGACTGAAATCAACTCAAAGATACATAGCTCCACCACAGAAAGGTTTCAGGTTCTCTGACTGTTGTGAATAAAGTGCTGCAAAAGTTGAGAGGAAAGAAAGGCTGTTTCCTACTGGGGAAATCAGAAAAGGTTTCAGGGAGCAGGTCACATCTGGGCTTTAAAAGATGGTAAGACATGGGCAGACGATGACTGGGAAGCAGGAAGAGTGTGCTCTGGGCAGAGGACCACTGAGCAAAGACTGGCAAATGAGTCGACATTTATCAGGAGCAATTCAGTAATGGCTGAGTGGGTGAGCAGCTTCAGAAATGACAAAGCCATTGTCACTTTGAAATGTATATGCTCTCTCCAGTAGAGCTGCAGTAGCCATGCAAGCACACACCATCTATATATTTAGAGTGTATATAAGTGTTCTCCTGTTCACATTTAACTATTACCCTTTGATCAAGGAAAGGAGCTGGAGTATAATGATGGCAGGTGGAGTTGTAGAGAGGGAAGATAGGTTGAGTAAAGATGGTAAAAATCACTGTGTTGGTTCTGTCTCTGGATAACACGTCTGTTTCAGGCTAGAACTATGTTCTGTAGGATTTTTAATGACTGATCTTTTGGAACTAGATTGCCAGACCTTTCTTTTTAGACATTTGTGAGAAGACTCAAACGTCCAGCCTTTTCGTTAACAGCCCCGTGTGTGAACCATTTGTATAATTCAGAGTCTCAAAAAAAGATAGAACACTGTTTTACCAGGCTAGCGAGAGAGCATCTTCTTCCCTCACTACCTGAGAGTGAAAGAAGAGAGTGAAGTGAGCCAGTCACGGATAAGGCTGATAATAATAGTCAGAGCCCAGAGAGGCCACTCACCTTGCAATTAACGAGAAGAACCGGAAGCTCAGGCCGGCTGGTTTCCCTGCTGCACTGCTGGTCCTGGATCAGGGCATGCACGAGGGGAGATTCCCCCTGAAGCCGACTCTGGTTTCCCTCCATCAGGCGCCTTTGAATCACACTGTGCGGCTGCTGGCTCCGGCACAAAACAGGGACAGACAAGCCTAAACCTCAGTGTCCTCCTCATTCCATTTCTCTGCCCTGTGTATTCCTTGCTGCTCTTCCCAACCTCACCCTTTTCCCGAGTCTCACAAGGATAAAAAAGGGGAGATAACTGAAAACACAGTCTATCCCCAAGGAGTTCAACTAAAGCCAAGTGAACCCCAGTAAGAAATGCTGTTTTTCTGGGGGCTCCATAGATGGTGCAACAGTGAAGAAATGCAAAGTGGAGAACTGTCCATGTTACACTGACTTATTGACTCACAGGACATTCCAAGGGTAAATATTATGCTTGGGGAAAACTTTGTCTCAAATCTACATACATTTCGGCCAGAGTTCTATTTTCCCCCCTCTGACCTCATCCTTCCATGAGCTTCAGAATCCAGGGCTGATGAGGCCATGAAATTAAGTCAAAGTCTTCAAAACTCTGACACTGAGAATCATCCTGGAGCTCTCCCTCACCCCTAGACACCAAGTCCGGTCCCTCCCCAAATACCACCATCTTGCCTCCTCTATTACAGAGTTCATCCCTCCTTTCTATTTCATCTGTCCTTCAAGCCTCGCCACGGCTCTCCCACACCACCAGAACAGCTTCCTAAGTGTTCTCCATATTCTCCCTGTACAGACACATCTGTTCTAAGCCTCTAGAATCAATTATCTACAACCTTTGTTATGTCAAATATATTCCTAAGAGCAGCAGCTTGAACATCATTTGGAATCCTGTTAAAAGGCAGACTCTTTAAAAAAAAGGAAAAAAGAAATGTATTACAAGGATTTCAGTCATCATGACCCTGAGACCAAAACTAGATGAAGCCATGCTGTCTCAGCCCTCTGAGAGGAATCATAATAAAAGATCCTTGATGAAAGCTCAAATACATTGCCATCAAGTCGGAACCAACTCAGAAGCTGACCCTCTAGCTGTTTTTCAGAGGCTCTAAATTGCACAGTAGAAGATTGCCCATCTTTCTCCCATGGAGCTGCTGGTGGAGAGAAGCAGCCTTTGGATTACCAGCGAAACTCAGGACTGAACCGCCAGAGGTCCCTCTCCTTGACAAGTGGGAGAGACATGTGGAACAAAATTTAGAAACCTTTAAAAGACCAAGCTTACTGATCTGGTAGAGACTGACAGACTCTCTCTCATACTAAGTTGCTGAAACTAAGGAAGATATGAAGCATTTGCTGAAGAAGGTTAAGGACTGCAACCCCTTCAATATGTATTGAAGCTCAATATCTCTAAAACAAAGATTCTCACCACTGGGCCAATCAGCAGCTTCATGAGAGATGGAGAGGAGATTGAGGTTGTTGACAATCACAGCTTACTCGGTTCCACAATCAACAGTCTTGGCACAAGCAGTGAGGAAATCAAAAGATGAATTGCATTGGGAAAATCTGTTGTTGGTGACCTCCCCAGTGTACAAAGATGTCAGTTTGGACACTAAGGTGCACCTGATACAAGCCATGGTCTTTGCAGCTGCTTGCTATGCATCCAATAGCTGGACAATGACTAAGGACGATAGAAGAAAAATTGATGCTTTTGTGGTGCTGGAAAAGAGTTTTGATCTACTATGGACTGCCAGAACAAACAAGTTGGTCCTGAAGAGAGTGAAACCAAACTGCTCCAAGAATTTTGCAGCTCTGTCTCACATACCTTTGGGCATGTGACCAGGAGGGACCAATCCATTGAGAAGAACATCATGCTTGGAAGGGTGGAGGGACGGCACAGGAGAGGAAGAACCAGGATGAGATGGATTGACTGGAGAATTGGGATTGGGTCAGAGACAATAAGATTAACTCAAGATAGGGCAAGGTTACTGCTCGGTTAAGTATTGAATAAGATCATGTATCATGTAAGGTACCTGGCCAAGGAGTGATTCAACAACACATAACAGCACAGGACAACAACCAAAAGGCCCTTAGTCATTTCAGCCAAAACAATAGACAGCTTTGTTGGCCTAGTGGTAAAAAGTTGTGCTACCAGGAGGCACCCAATTTGAATCCAGTAGCTCCATGGAAGAAAGATGGGCAGTCTCCTAAACCTCTGAAACTAAGGATCAGCCATGAGCTGGTTTTGACTCAACAGATCACAATAATAAATAATAATAAAAAATAACAATGCCAGAAAAAACATGTGGCTTAAGCCAATCAATCATGCTCAGTCACAAGGGTGGCATTTCCCTGGGGATAAAGCTCAAAAGGTAGGAAGAAATAGGAACCATGGATGAATGGAAATAGAAAACAGAGGAAGTGGGTAGAGTGCATTTATATGGTGGGAATTGCAATTATCGCCATGGAACACAATATGTATGTATTGGAAAAACAATTAGCTTTGAAAACGTTCACTCAAAAAGTAAAAAAAAAAGAGAGAAATGCAGAATCTCAGGCACTACCATAGATCTATTGAATCAGAAATTTTAGTGAGATACCCATGGAATTAAAGCACCGAAGTGAAAACTTACCCTGTTTAAAATTTATCAAGCCCTGCCCTTGCTGTCCCTCCCCTCCCCTACTGCATACTTGGGGAACCACAGCCTAGACCTGGCCGCTTTCTGAGTCTTGTGTGACGGCTCCACACAACTCCCAGAATCTACCTAGCACCTTTGTCACTTGCACTGGCCCAGGCAGATACCAGGTTGTTTCTCAGCTCCAGGCCTTTGTGCCTGTTCATTCTTCCTCAAACTCCTCTTTCTTACTCTTCCTTATGTCAGATTGGACAGGACAGCTGGCCCTACATATTGCTCAAGAACTATATTCAGAAGAGTTAAAAAAAAAATTTAAAGTTCCATGTGCAACCTCTTCCAGGAAGCCCTCTCTGACTTCTTCATACTCCTCCACCGACACACACATCTGGCGGGGTGAGTGCCCCTTCTCTCTCTTTTCTCTCCCTTCTTCATGCTCACAGATAGTATTTGTGAATCTCACTCCCACTACCCTGGAGAGCCCTTGGGGTCTGGCCTGTGTCTCATTCATCTCTAACGCTCAGGACCCAGCCCCGCATATACTAGGCACTCAATGAGTGGAGTCCTCTAGTCTTTGCATACCCCTCCTAACCTGTACTCTCTCCGTGAGAACCTGGGATTGTTTTTGTACTCTTGGCTTAATGAGCCCCCTGAGACCGCTCCTCGCCAGCAAGGCTGCCAACAGGAGACTAGATCTGGGAACAGAGCCTCAATCGCTGAGCGCTGGGACTGGTAGGACAAATAGACTCTCCAGTTCCCGTCTCCCCTCCCGCCTTTCCCACAGATGAACTCTAGCTGTAGACCTCCTCTGTACACGTCGCTTCTGAGAGAGCCCAGGGAGGGATACTCCTGAGGTCCTCCCAGTCTGTTGTGTCTTCACCCCCACATCCACAGGAGATAACTATTAGGGTCAGTATGGGAGATCCTGAGACAGGAGAAGTGAGAAGCCCAGGACGTTCTTATCAGATGGCTGGATCGGTCCCTTTTTCTGTGCTCTTAGATGGCATTGTTAATGGAGCTGCTTCTTTGGAGCGAAATAAAAAGGCATAGCATGAGAGTAGAGGCCACCTGACCAGGAACCTTGCAGCTGGGAGCCATGGGGCTTGCTTTCCTGTTCCTCCCCTGTGCATGTCATGTTTGCAGGAGGAATCATACCCCTGAGAGTCCTCTGAGTTTAGATCCCAGTCACATCACTTACTTAGGGGATGCTGAGATGGGATTAAAAGACAGTTTGGACCCTGGGTTGGTTTCCTGGATAGCTTGTCTTAGAGAAATATGGAAATAAAGGACTAGTCAGGGAAAGGCAATGAGGGGCTGAATTTGCTCCAGATTCCCAGAAGGAGGCTGCAGCCAGAGGAGCCTCAACTTTCCAGAGATGTCTCTGCTGAGTGCCCCATCCTGGATCCAGAGGTAAGTTCTAGATCAGCCAGAGGCGACAGTATGCTCCCTGGCAGGCCCCAGAAGATCTTCCTGTCTTTGACTCGGGGATCTGCTCCTGTATTCTCAGGACTACAGCACTTACTTTGTCTCCAGCTCCTTGTTTTTTTGTTGGGTATCATCAAGTTGTTACCAACCCACAGCTGACCTTCCAGAGGGCTTTCAGAGGCAATTAATCACATGGAAGGAGATTGCGTATTTTTCTCCCAGGGAGCAGCTCCCAGGACTTAAATCATGTACCTTACCACTAAGCCACCAGAGGCCCTTGTTCTGCTAGCCAGGCACAGTTTTAAGCTACCTTGGATGGATTAGTTCATATCACTCTCGTAGCAACCCTAGAGGTAGATACTTTTATCTTGATCCTCATTTAGCAGTTGAGGAAACTAAGGCACAAAGACATAAAATAACTTGCCTAAGATAGCAAGTAGCAGAGACAGAATTTAAACCCAAGCAATGTGGCTCTGAAGCTTATGCTCTTAACCAGCACTATCTCTCAGGGGGGATGGCTGTATATGCATCATGTCCACAGGCCCACTTATCTTCTTTGGTGTTACCCCATCCCCCACACCCTCTGAAGACCAAAAATCCTCAAGGAAGTGGCAGGAAAGGAGCCTGGAGAGAGGCCCTCCACCAATAAGAGAGGGAGTGGGGCCCTCCAGGAGACCAGGAGATCCGCCAACAGACATGTGAAACCCTGATTCTCTCTAAGGATGATGACTCTTAATGTTTTAATTCTATGTGGGTCTATGAATGGACAGATCTGGTATGTGGAAATCTATAGTTTGAGGAGAAGAGGGGAACCACTGTCCTATATTAACCCACCCTCCAGGCCTGCTCAGTCTGCCCCAGGCTTCCTGTGTTCCTCTGAGCCTCTACTAAACAGCACAGCTCCTCACTGATTCTGTAGATCAGCCTTGAATTGGTAAAGGGAAAGGTGGGGAAGTTAGGTGATGAGAATAAGGTCCTTCAAAACCACTACAATCATAGAAACACCCCCAACAGAGAGCCTGAGAGTGGTCAAAGGGAAGCCCCCAAGTTGTAGGAACTGTGCTCAGCAAGGGAGAGGATTCTGGGAGCTTGTGGTCTGGACTTTGTGGTCTCCCACCCCTTCCTCAGGATCTGGAAAGTGGAGAGGAAGGGGCAGGGAGACATCTTCGGGACAGGGAGGGGACAGGGCTGCCTCACCAAGTCCTTGGAGGTGCCGAGCCTCTTGAGGCTGTCCAAGGGAAGCAGGTCAGCGGAGTCCTTGTGCAGGAACTGGGTGGCCTGTTTGAGGCGTCGCTCTTGGCTCAGGTGGGCTCGGTCTTGAAGCTCTGCCTCCTGTCCCTTCCTAGCCTTTTCTCTTTCATCTCTCCTGGCCTCCTGCCCGGTACTCATGATCTCTCCAGGGAGGAGCAGTGTGGGGGCTTCTGAGCTGTTCTCCCCTCTGTCCTCTGCAACTGTGTACCCCTGCAGCTTTCTTCCAGTCTCCGTTTCCTGGACTGCAGCTCTCCTTCTGACAGGAGGGTCTCCGCGGGAGAAAAGAAGGAAATAAATAAATAATGTGCAGGAGCAGCCACGTCAGACACCAATTTCCAGAGATTGCAGTAGAGGGAGTGAGGCTCGGGCTGGAAAAACCCAGTACCAGGAGAGAGGGTGGAAGGGCTGCAGTGCCTTGATTCTGGGGTCAGAGTAGCCAGGAAGAGAGAGAGTGTGTGTGTCGGGGGGGGGGGGGGGGGGGGGGGGGGTGTGTTTGTGTGTCAACTGCCAGGGTGCCTGTGCCAGGTTTTTTGAATGGCAGCGTCTGTGTCAGTATGTGTGGGCAGCTGCCTGCGTGCTTTCTGTGATTCCATGTGCTTGAGTACCTGGTCCCACTTTGCAGCCCTCTTGGTCTCCTCCTGGGCTGCCCAGCTGTTTGTTCCATCTGTGTTTCTCTGTAGCCCCGGGCCCGGGGTGCAGGCCAGAAACTGGGTTCAGGATAAAGAAAAGCAACATCAAAATGCCCTTCTCTTTTTACATGTCTGGGTCTCTCCTTGACCAACTTGGCAGATGTCAGATGAGTTCTGGATTCTAGAGAGTGACAGTAGCAGCTATGAACTTTCCCATAAATAATGACCTGGCTTCTTGGCATCTTTTATATGTAACTCCTTAAAACTGAGCTCTTAAAAAATGTTCTATTTCAAACAAAGAACTTAAAAAATAATATAACCAAAATCCTTTACTCACTACTCAATTTGAAAAATAAACTTGCCTATAGGGATGAAACTTCCTGTGTACCTCTACCTCCAGATGACATCCTCTCCTAAGTTCGATGTTGATCACTCCCCTAAAATCAGTCAGATCAATTCTGCTTGAAGAAAACTCCACGTGTTTCAAAGTAGAACTGCACTCCACAGGGTTATCATGACTCTGACCTTTCTGAAGTAGATGCCAGGCCTTTCTTCTGAGCTTCTCTGGATGGGTTCAAACCACCAAACTATTGGTTAGTTATTGCATGTTTAGCTGCTTCCCTCGGGGACTCGTCAGTCCCATACCTCTCTTCATGCATCCGTGCATATATCCTAAGTAATATCTCTTTTAGTTTTGTCTGAACCCACCAGGGAGTTCTGATGGCATAGTCCATAAGGAGTTGTGCAGCTAGCCCAAAGGTTTTGACTCTCCAGGGACTCTATAGAAGAAAGAAGAACAATCCCATTTTTTTTTTAAATGTAGGTTGTTTATTTTTCATTTCAATGAACATCTACAGAGATTTTGGGATTCCATTCATTCATTGTTGCACCCTTCTCCCCGCACAAACCCCTCCCCCCTCCCCCCCCATTTGCTCCTCTCCTTGAAAAGCAAAAGAAAAACTCCCTCATTGGTACACAATCCCCCCCCGCACCTCCCCCAATCCCACCCCCTAGCCCCCAATATAATCCACTCTACAACCCTCATTGCATACTCCTACGATAAAAATAATGCCCTAAAATATAATACTTTTAGACTATTCTCTCCCCCATAGACTTCAATGCCGTATTTTTATGAAACCTAATCGCTCTGAGTAGGAATCAATTCAATTTCAGCAAGTTTGGTTTTTCTTTCACCCACAGTATATGTTATAAAGTTTGCTCACCCCTCCCATAGTCGTAAAATTCATCTATTAAGTGTGAATATTGTGGTAGTTAGGTGCTATCAAGTACAACAGGTCTGAACTTTATGCTGTCCTTGGCCAGCCTCATCCTCTCTGACACTCTTGAGCCCGTATCTGAAGTCACCATGTCAATCCATCTCATCAAGGGTGTCCCTCTCTTTCCAAGTGGAAAGAGGACCCTCTAACTTTCCAAGCACGGTGCCCTTTCCAGGGAATAACCCCTCCTAACATGTCCAAGTATGTGAGACGAAGTTTAGTCATCCTCCTATCTAAGAAGCACTCTGGATGAACTTTTTCTTTTCTAATTTTTTTAATGAACTTTTTCTAAGACTCAGTCAGTTCTCGTTTCCAACACCATGACTCAAGAGGATCAGCTCTTCTTCTATGAGTCATTTTTGTTTTGTTTTTTTTAATTACATATATATTTTTACTTTATATTGGTTTGCATATAACATTTGTATAGACTATATTTCATTCATATACATGTGTTTTATACACTCTTCCGTTCACATTGTCATACAGTCATTTCCATACATTGTGTTTTATAAAACCAATCGCCACCGTTGATCTATGTCCCCTATCATCCCGTCTTTTCAGGTTACCACTGGATCTTTCCCAATTCCTTCACTTCCTCCCTCCACTATGAGTTGGTTTTGACTCAACAGTACACAACAAATAAAGTATGCTTAGTTCTAATTAATTCACTTTAATAGTTGGATAGCATTCCACTGTGAATATCTTACCTTTAGGACATTTAGGTTATTGGCAGTGTTTTTCTGTTTGTTTGGGGTTTTTTTTAATGGAGATTTTATTGTAAGTTTATAAAGAACTTGAATTTCCTCATTCATTGTTGCATATTTTCCTCCCTGTCCCTACCTCCCCCAGTTTGCTTTTTCCTTTGGGAAAAAAGTTTTTTCATTGTTATACAGTCCCCCACTCAAAATCACTTTACTGTGCAGCTCTTATTCTGGACTCTTGTCATGCCACTAATAACTAGCCATATATTCCTTTTAAACAGTTCTCTCCCTCGTCTGTTTCAATGTTGTGTACATTATTTATCACTTCTTTTCTTAGTTGCCCCCCAAACCCCCGTCAGTCCTGTTTTATAACAGTAGCATTATGCAATATTTGTCTTTTTGTGACTGAGATATTTCACTCAGCATAATGTCCTCCATAGTCACCCATTTTGAATAATATGTCATGAGTTCTTTGTTTTTCAATGCCACATAGTATTCCGTTGTGTGAATACACCACAGCTTCTCTCGCCATTCGTTTGTTGATGGGCACTTGGGTTGTTTGCATCTCTTTTCTATTGTGAACAAAGCTGCAAAAAAAACATGGATGTGCATGTATCTGCTTGGGTGGCAGTTCTGGTTTCTTTAAGGTATATTCCCAGTAGTGGAATTGCTGGACCAAATGGTATTTCTATTTCGAACTTTTTGAGAAAGTTTCATACTGCCTTCCATAGTGGTTGCATAGGTAATATTGTTTTGTTTTGATTTTGATTTTACGGATAGATGATGAACCTGTCTGTACACATCCCCCTTGAGGAAAGTATAAGTGTGTCTCTCGAGGATATCCCTAGGAATGGAATTGCTGGTGTCAGACGCACCTCCTCATCTTTTTTGGACATTGTTGGATTGTTCTGCAGAGAAGTGGGCACTCGAGTGAACAGCTCATGAAGCAGTGAGGGTCCTTGTCTCCCCTTCCTCATCAACACTTGTTGTTGTTGTTGTTGTTGTTGTTGTTGTTATGTGCCGTCGAGTCATTTGCGACTCATAGCGACCCTATGTACAACAGCCCTAAACCCTGCTCTATCCTGTGCCAATCGCATTGCCTCTGACACACCCATCCTGATTACCCCAGTCACTGAATTAATCCACCTCATAGAGGGTCTTCCCCTCCTGTGCTGTCCCTCTACTCTACCCAGCATGATGTCCCTCTCTAAAGACCTGTCTCTCCTTGCAACATGTCCAAAGTATGTCAGACGAAGCCCCAGAATCTTTGCCTCCAAGGAGTAGCCTGGTTTAACCCTCTCTAGGATGAATCTGTTTGTTTTCTTGGCAGTCCATGGTACATTCAATACTCTTCTCCAGCACCACAGCTCAAAGGTGTCAATTCTCCTTCTGTCCTCCCTAGTCATTATCCAGCTCTCTGATGCATAACAAGTGATTGCAAAGACCATGGCCTGTATCAGGCGCACCTTCATCTCCAAAGAGACACCGTTGCTCTTGAGTACTTTAGAGACTTCCCTAACAGCAGACTTTCCCATCACAATACGTCAACACTTAGCATTGTCAAACTTTTCAGGGCCCTGGATCAATGCTCAGAGGTGTGCTTCCAGCTTTTCATTTTCACCATCATCAAAGTGCATTTAAGCACCTGCTTATGTGTGTTGGACACTGAGGATGTGTCCCTCACCCAAGCCCTGATCCCTAGAGGTGAAGTCTGACCAAGATAGCAATAAGGTACGAGCACATGAGACAAACCAACAATTCACCAAGCTTCTACAGACCAAACTTGTGCAGTCTTCTTCATAACCACTGCAATCGATTATGTGACAAAATAGAATTATGATGGTGTCCATTTGCAGATAAGGAAGCTAAGTTTTAGGACACTTGTCTGAGATTTGCTGTTAGGGTGAAGAGGTGCCCAGAATCACACCCAGGTTTCTGACTCTTATACCCTGTACTGTAACCTTCTACTGATGGAGGTGATAAACCTGAAAGGAACACCGATTACATTTCTATAACTCTTTCCCACGCAGATCTTGGTTTCATTCTTTAGAGTTAATTCCAGTGGAATTTTCAGACACCTCCCCTTAACCCAGTACCTAACTTGTGTAGCTTCAACTTCTTCTACAACAGAATGGCATATCACCCTATTCTGCTCCATGCTGCTTAAAACGTTCAGTGTGCCTAAGTCCATTAGTATGGCTGTGTATATTTTTAATGTCTTCCAACCTAGAAAGTTGATCATCCAGCACTTTGATGAACAATATTCTGCTGTGATTCATTGGATAATTTTTGAAAATAGGTCGCTGTGATGGTTAACTTTGTGTGCCACCTTGGCTGCCTATGGTTCTCTGGTTTGGCTGTTGTAGTGTGGTCAATCTCTTAATGAGATTTTCTATGAGCAGCCTATCTCTTGAGGAGGGGTTTCATCACAGGTGTGGCTTGCATTTAATACAGAAGGATGGGAGAGCAGGCTTGCTTTTTGCTCAGTCTCCATGCTGGCTCATCCCATCCTTGGTCTGTTAACCTGGCATCCTTACTTGTCTGCTGACCTTGGATTCATCAGGCTCTGCAGCTGTGTACAACATTAGTGCGATTCATCTATAAAGTGTGCTGTGAGCTTGGGGTTTGTCCAGCTTTGCAAGAGTGTGAGTCATTTCCTCTAGCTAGGTAAATCTCTGTCTGTCTCTACGTGTATATGGCGTTTTGGTGGCATAATCCATAGGGAATTGACTTTTAACCCAAAGGCAGCGCCTCTCTAGCAATTTGATTCCACCAGTGACTCCATGAGGGGGAAAAATGGGCAATCTTCTCCCCTTTGACTGTTTAATTTACAGACTCCTGAAAAACCACAAGAGGGTTAGCTATAAGGCAGCCCTGACTCAATGGCACATAACAACATGCACACACATACACACACAAACACATGGGATTTTTCATTGCTTTTCTTGTGAGATCTCTAGAGAACACAGCCTACCTAAGACAGTCACCAAACCTTCTTTCTTCCTAGTCTGCTTTAGTCTGGAAGTTCCGCCTTTGGTATTTGAAATACCAGTGGCACGGCTTCCAACATCATGATAATATGTAAACCACCACAGTATGACAGATGAATAGTGGCAGTATCTATTACTATTACCTAGGATAGAGGTGGAAGAGGATCCACTAATATGTTGTCCTAGTTCCTGAAGTTGCTTCAGAGGATAACCGGCATTGATAGATCAGTGACCTATAGAGTGTGATGTGGACAGGCTCCAGTGTTCAAATAGAACTCATTCAACTTATTCCCACTTAAGTTTGGAAATTATTTAATAGCCTCCAAAATATGTTATTAATATATTCTTTGGAGAAGCAGTGCTAAATTATTAACATAAGTGAGATGTCTCTAGGACACTTTTTGAAACTGGTCCCAAATGGACCAGTTTGGATGTACCTAAACACCCTGAGGAAGAGTAAATATTCCAGTGGCAATGAAAGGAATCTTTGGAGTGTATTGTTTGGCTGGAGTGAGCACAGGGACATTGAGTCCTCTTTTCCAACTAATCTGTTTAAGGCCTTTGTTGCCTCATTCTTGTAGAGAGAGTGAAAGTAACATAATGACAATCAAATCTATTAACACACAAGGGGAAACTGTCCCCATCAAGAGCGTCCACAGCACAAAACCAATCCCCATGAGGTCAAGCATGT